TGTGGGCAAGACCAAAGAGGCAACCAAACAGAATTCCTGTACAGTCAACGAGGATGAGGGTGACCCCTAGGCCGTTCGTATAGGAAGGTTTGCACTTTGTTGCTTGCCTTTGAGACAGCAAGATGTTGGGGCTGTCGACCATGTTTCATCAGTCCCCACGAGAAGAGCAACCAACAGATGCAAAACGTATTAAGCTGCTTGTGCTATGGATCAGAAACCTACTTGGCGCTAGCACCAAAGTGACCAACATGGAGATCATGAGATCATGTTTCGCTTTGCTCGTGGAGTCGACAGAGGAGAGAGTGGTCTCTCCGCCAGGAGACGGAGCAACCTTTTGGCTTGGTGCCCTTCGATGGGATCTTCGGGCGTGGTTTTCATCGTTGCTTTTTGTCAAGAGATTTGGTGGGTGTTGACTTGTTTGGGCTTGTTGAGTTGCACACTGGTGAGTAGTGTAGTGAAAGGTGACTTTCATTTTCACCCACATCTAAATGGTTTGGTGCGCACCCCCCCTGTTTTGTGCAGGAGAAATGTCGTCCCAGCGACCATCCCATCATCCATGTCCATGTCATTGCATGGGAATATACAATGTATATTGTATATTATATAACGTGTTAGCTGGTGATTTGACTTTTGTGTTGATTCAGTTCACAGGGCAGATACATTTGTTGGCGGCGTGTCAATTGTAAGTCAATTGACAATAGGTGAAATCACACCCGTGCAGTTTGATTGCAAGCGCGCTTTGTCGCAGGCTTGGCTTGCCCCAGATGTCGCAAGCTCCACATTTCAATGTCTCTTGGACGGCATAGGGAACAGTGTTTCCTGCAGATGAGTTTCCATCACCCAAACAGGGCTGACATTTATCTTCCAGATTGCTACAAAGATTTCAAAGCCGGGAAGCTTGCAATGGGGAGGCTGCAGAAGATAAGCCCAGATGATCGGCACTCATACTCGGCCACTCCTACTCGCATCGACGTACAATCAACGTGAATAGCGAAGGCACTACATATTGCTGATGGAGATTCAATTTGAAGCTCTCTCCACTTCAGATGATGCGTACATCTTACGGCCAATCCACCTGCAATGTGGAAGAGGTTTGTCCAAGGGGCCTAGGGGGGCTTCTCGCTCCAAGGTGTTGGATTGCATGATCCGAGACAAGGCTAGGACCGCACCGGGGGATGCATGGTGGCAATCAAAAAGCCTAGAAGTGAGTCCAGACTTGATGAATACAGGAAAACCTCATATTGGGTAAACTTCATGACTTTTAGGGTGGTGAAGCATAGTTCAAAATTGCCTGCAGGTCAGCAAGATAAGGAATTCTGAGCGTGTCTTTGAGCACTCTTCTACCCTCAGAGTCCCAGCTGGAACCCACACAGTGGCTTTTGAGGGGATGATGAACAAAAGATGCCCAGATTTGTGTCCTCGACATCAGAGTTGGCTGTACACCCATCCCCTAGATTGGCACATCTGGAGCTTCAACATGAATGACTGGCACACCAAATCAGTGGTTGACTAAAGTCCATGATGGGACAAGACACATACACTCATTGGTTAGCTTTGTGTTTCTTCCCCTGTTGTTAATAAACAACAGCCGACAGCGCAGAGGTACTGAAGAAGAATCTTTTCTCAGTGTTCTTGGCCGCGGATGACAAGGAGGAGAGTGAGATCTCCTTTGGAGAGCAGCTCGGAGAGTGGCGTAGCTTTCGGCCACGACTTGTTTTTTGGACTGCGTGTGAAGTTTGGCGTCTGGAGGAGAGTTTCTTATTACAAAAAAACTGATTCTTTTGGTGGTTTCCTTTACAATTCCTTTAGATTTCCTTTTGGTTGAAAAGCTTGAGCTTTATTGAAGGCAATCCGTTCTGGATTTCTGATTTGGCCGCTGCAGTTTCCTTTAAAACTGTTTATTTGGGCATTGCAATTTGTAACCTGAAAGCTGCTTGTGAAAGTCTATTGTACTTATATTGGCTATGTCATGTGCCACAAACTCAGTGGAAGATAGTGGAAGTAAGTTCTGAGGCTAGCCCAGAGAACCACAAGAAGGGTCAGGCAATACAACGTTTTTTCCTTGGAAAATCACGCATCACTCGATCAACGAACCGGCCCAGATGGCCTTTCCACGAACCTCACGGACCGAAACCTCGAAGACCTCAGGTACAAACCCAGCCGAATGGCCGGAGAGCTCTTTTGGGTGCCGGTGTCGCACCCGGGCTACTGGCAGGCGAAGAGGGCTGAGAATCCGAAGAACTGTTGATTGAGAGTCTCTTTTCGGAGTCCACAAAAGGTTTAAGCAGAGGTGGGCAACTGAAAAGCAAAGAAAAGCAGTAACTGACAAATTAAATCAGTTAAAGCATATTTTACTATAGCCTAAGTGGAAGTGTTACAAAATTGATGAATCTCCATGATCCTTGCAACTCAGCAGCTGGTTTCATGAAGTTTCAACTCGTGGGCGCTTGCCCAACTTGTCAGCCGGACCTGACATCCCGGAGTTTGGCAGACACCAAAACACCGTCCCATGCCAAATCCGCATGATGCCTTTCTGACATGTACTGATACTTGTCACCCAAGCTGGGACTGGCTCCAGCTGCTTCCTAGTGAACTGTGACCAGTGCAGAAATTGCGTGAATTGCATATTCCAGACATCACCAAACCCAATCCAAACACTCCCGTCTAAACCCGGTGGTTGGACTGGGACGGCGGCACAGGTAGAGATGCAGGATGTCACGATCAATGACCAGCCGCAAGAGCTTTGCAACGGCCGCTGCCAGGCGTCAGCGTCTGTGAGTCGGTCCGTGCGGAAGGAGTGATCGCGAGCCACAGGAGTCTACTCAACAGGATGTTGCCGCGCTTTGGGGCGTGTATGTTTTGGTGGTCTGGACTGTGGAATCTTCTTTGGTAAACTATTTTTTTTAACTTACCTATATATATAATTAGCATGTTAGAGTTCTTCATTGGACAAGCTTGGATCATGTTCACATTGGTGGAAAGAAAACCATTGTTTGTAAAGGAAGAGTTCGTTTTCCACGAAGCCATCCACTTCTTGTTGGATAAGAGGGCCTTAGACTAGAGGGCAAGGAGTCTGGGGTGCTTGCCACCCGGAAAAGAGCAGGGGATTCACCAAGAAGGTCCACCCATGAAAGCATTCTCAGCCATTTGATCATGTGCATGAAGCTAGACATGGTAGACTCAGATTGGTTCCCTATAGTTTATGAATCACGGAGCTTTTGGATGCAGTCTAATTTCTGGTGCTGCTTTCATTTGCTTGCCTTTCATTTGTTGAGGGCGCAGAATGTCCTTCTTGACTATGGTGCTCGTCACCCTTCAAGATCCCAGCAAAAATAACTATTAAACATATTAAAACGTATTAATGTTAGAACATCACAACATCCAGGAAAAGTGAGTCCAAAACACAGTCCAAAGCAAACATATGACTTCATGCTGTATGATCCTGGATGATTGGGAACCTTTTTCATCAACACTGCCACTGGAACTGTGGAGGCAGCTGTCGACACCGGCACCTCGCTGTTGGCTGGCCCTTCTGATGTGGTAGGCCATACTGCGGGGCTTGGTGGCTTTGTTGGAGGAGAATCACCCATTCGGCATGCCTGACAAGGGTGTAAAAGCTTACTGAACTCATGCTGTTTGAGCCGCATGTCAGCTATGGAGCTGGTTTCCTTTGCTAGATTCGGTTGAATTTTTGTTTATCAACATGTAGCTCAATGTGATCCCCACGCATTTTCATCTCAATCGCTACAAAGAGGCAAATAGCTTGTTCTGACCAATTCATTATTGTCTAAAAAGTACGCATCGCCAGTTGCATAAGAACCTGCTCTTCGACGAACATGGTCTTTTCTCATCATGATGTATCACGGCTAGCATACCAAACAGCCATCTCCTGATCATCACATAGGTTATTTTAGTCAACATTTTGAAACTACCCCTCTCTCGCAAACATACCTCGGCTGACTAGAAGAAAAGAGACAGCTCGTCCACAGGTGCGCTCATCCAGAGGCACCGAGGGTTGGGAAGAGATTCGGACCAGCGGGGAACAAGCTGACCGGACCAATGCAATTTGACTCACATAGATTGGAGATCTTCTGTGCCCCAAACAGAATGCCTGGCTCAAGGTGATGGAGATATTTTTGATGTCTTTGAGGATGGATTATGGAGCTCTGGGGACCAGATGTCCCTTTTCTGGCGAATCAATGTTGAGCACAACTTTTGGGAGAGTATCAACAGCATGTACCCTATTTTGAGTGCAAAGCTTGAATACTCTTGCAAATAGTTTTCAAGATTCAACGGCTGTTTGTATACGAAAAGAGCACTCCAGGAGGAGTTACACATGTGTGGATTTGCAAGAAAATAATCCAAAGGACACATGCATCCGCGGCCTCCCGCTAGGGTCATCAGACTACACCCTACATGACTCATGGACAAGAAATGGGGACTCCATACAACTTCTATTAGGTGTATAATACTATACATAGCCCTCGGACTGGTAGTATTGATAGGTTCCTTTAAGGAGAGGCACGGTTTTTTTTCAGGTTCAGTTTGCAAGCGGTACTCTTTCTCAACCAAGTCACAATACGTCTTGGAGTTATAAATGTGTGAGGACTACTCCGGCGTCCCTGCCAGCTCTTGGTGTCCTGTCCGCAGCCATTTCAGCTTCATTAGCCTCAACACTCGTCGATGGAAGGACCTGTTGTAAGGGTTTTAACAAGCACTATAGAGGGATTGGACGCTTTTCCGGGATGTAGAATTCGCAACTCACAGTTGCTGCAGGATATAAACACGCATACAGTTTTGACAATAATTAATGGTACCATATCAACCATGATGAGGCTTTGTACCTCTATGCTTTTCATGGAGTAACTTGAGTACCACCCAGAAACAAGAACTCCTTGAAAAAACATGTGAGTCAGGTTCTACACATTTACATCAATCTTCAGAATGAGACCAGACAGACCTTGTACTTCGTAAGACGCAGCACTCGTACCAGATGGTCCATGGCTCCTGAAGGCGCAGCTGCGGCTCAGCTTCCCACTTGGCGAAGGCAGACGCCCTTTCATCGTCATGCTGTTTGTGATTGGTGGACGGTCCCAGGTGTTAAATCCAGAGGACAAGAAGTGAAAATATGCAGTGGATCAGAGTGATGAGAGTGATAGACTGTTGTTTGGTGCAGACTGTTCATCAACACCTGACACCAATGATGGAAATCCACTGGAACAAAAGCAACACAGAGGGAGGCTGCCAGCATTGAATAAGTGGAATAGCTTTTGGTGTTTGGGTTTTGATTTTTGATCCAAATCGATGTTTGGAGGCCTAGGCCGCTTGCACCATATTCTCCACTCCTTGGCCATGCAGGCGCAGTGAGTGAGCTTGGTGCAGAGGAGCATCATTTTTGCTTAAGACAAGCGTTTTACATTCCGAACCGCTCATTCTAGATCTTGTAGGGGCTTTTCTTCTCCAACTTGAAACCAGTCCTTCAGCCACGTGGCGCCAGCCAGCGGGTTCCACCCGCCCGCCCCGCCCTCAATCGGCCAGGATGGAACACGCCTATGGCAGGCTCGCAACCTGGTCCGTGGACTGCGGGACGCGGGAGGACGAGTCATAATTTGAACTGTAAAAAATGACCTCAAGTCAATCTCATGGCGAAACTGGGCAAGCTCACCTTTGTAGGAACATGTCACACTGTTTTGTCTCTCAAATTGTTCCATACAATGGGACAATTTTAGTGGCACCGCATATGCATTCCACCAATGCAACAAATTGGCAAGTGTCACCATCCCCCACTCAGTGACACAGGTTGGGCAGAGCACCTTTTGGTTATGCACCTCGTTGTCAAGTGAAATCATCCCTGATTCCGTGACCCAGATTGGGAGTTTTGCCTTTGCAGAGTGCAGCTCGTTGGCAAGTGTTACCATCCCCCGCTCAGTGACGCTGATTGGGAATGGCACCCTTCAGTGCAGCTCGTTGGCAAGTGTGACTATCCCCCACTCGGTGACCCAGATTGGCACCAAAGCCTTCTGTGGGTGCGGCTCATTGGAACAAGTATATAACAAGCCCTGATTCAGTGACCCAAATTCGGGAGATGGGGCCTTTGGTGGTACCCATGACTACTCGGTGGCATTTGGCGCCTTGGTGGGCCAGAGAATGTGAATGTCAACAGTGCAAAGTCCCGATGGTTTCTGAATGGCTGGCTGTGTCCTCAGTGGCGGTGTGGCCGTCTCTCAGATCCTTAGAGAGAAGCAGTGTTGCTGTTTCATAAAGGATCACACTGGATGTATACGAGGATGGATATTTACTAGGGGCTCCCGGCCGTACTACTAGGAACAAGAAGCTACTAGGGGCTCCTGGCCTTACTACTAGGAGCAAGGACGCTACCAGGGGCTCCTGGCCTTACTACTAGTAACAAGAAGCCAGGACAATCGGATGGATATACGCTCCTCCAAAAAACGGCCTGCCCGGTGCGTGGGTGAAGACACAGACCCCAGTCAGCAGTCAGGTTCATGTTCTGGGTCAAGCTAGGGTCGATGGCCAATAGCTAAGGAATCCCACGATTAGTGCAAATACGAGAAAACGTGTTGCAAAGTCATAAAATCTACTACGTTTTGAAAAAGATATATACGCTTCTCACGAACAATCTGCGTGTCTAATTCTTGAGAATTCTTCCCGAACCATCACAAGCAAACATTAGGCAAATAGTCCAACAGTTGTCATGTTCGGCTTTTCGAGAGAAATGTGACTTTCGACGAGTGCCGACATGTTATTTTTTATTATTAAGTACCATTTACCTCTTTTGATCATGGTGCAATTACTGTGTCAAAGCATCCCAAATACCAGTGTCTTCCTGCCTGTTGTACCTTTGGAGGAGAGCATCCTAGACAACCTCGGGATCGTTCGATCAACATCTGTGTTTCATTTCTGTCTATATCGTTTTGTTTCCTGTGTTCGCGCACAAACACCAATAGTGCCCCCCTGTTTCCCTTGACCCAGAATATCAGCTGAAGGACCCAGAACCCAGATGAAGAATGACCCGTGTAACATGGGCTTCGCTGTTCTCGCCATGCTTCGTGGAGGGCTTCGTTGGACATCGTCTGTTCAGTTGATTATGGACACCACCGGGACCCGTCGTAGAAATCCGTCACCACCCCGCTGACTGGAGAGGACCGACTCACCCGTTGATTCATTGGGGTTGCCTGGGCCTAAACTGGTGCACTTAAACAGTTCACCTCTTGGGTTTTTGCCGGGCCTCTCCAAAGCTTTGGTTTCTCTTGAACTTCCGCATGTGGTTTTGCTTGGTTTCCATCTCCTGTGGTCCATCACGGGTAGATCAACCCAACGATCCTTCCTTAATTTGTTAAGCTGCTGCCACCGACCGCAGGGGACCACACCAAGACTGCAGCACCGCCGCCCATGCAGCCCCAGCCGCAGTTCCGGAGGGCGCCGCAGCTGGTTGCAGTGCTGCTGGGAGCGCGACAGGTGCCTAGAGAAATTTGATGAAATTTGTAGAAGTGGGTTGGTTGGAGCTATGTGTTACTGGAAGGGGTTGGGTGGGTAGATGCCTGGGTGGGTTGGCTGTGTTTTGTTTGGTCCAGTGCTTTTGTAGGAAAATGACAGGTCATAAGAATCATTGGAAGTTGTGAACGTAATATCAGACAATATGTTTTAATTGTTTTCTAGGATCTTTGAGGTTCTGCCATCTCCACTCCTTCAATAGCAAATCCAGTATACTTGCGACTTCAGAGTCCATTGTAGTCTATATGTCCATACAGTGCCTACTACTAACAACAAGCTACTATAGTAACCAAGGGCATCGCTACGAACGGAGCGATCGGACGCTACGAACGTAGCTCTTGGCCTTACTACTACTAACAAGAAGCTACTAGTAGCAAGAAGCTACTAGTAACAAGTGCATCGATACTAATAACAAGTGCCTTACTAGTAGTAGTAACAAGAAGGTGACCTATGTTCGGATGTGTTTATTTTTTCATGTTCCGTGCTTGACCTGCTCAGTCAGGTCCGCCGGACCCGCCGAGGGCTCGGTGCCGCAGCAGCGGTGCCGAGCACGGGGCAGACCTTGGAGACGCTTGGCGGGGTCACCGAGGTCTTAGTTGGAAGTCTTTGGGAGAAGGACCAAAAGGGGAGATGAAAAAGTGCGAAGGTGGGCGGCAAGGGTGTTTCACCTGTTTGTTTTGGTTTAAACCTTTCTTGGTGGTGGGAAGGGATCAAATGATCACATTTCTGAGAGGGCGGCAAGAGGGCTGCCGCCCTCGGCTGCCGACGCTTCGGCAAATCATTGTAACGTACCTGGAACCCACGTTGGACGCTTCGACAAAGACTAAACCTCATAAGCTGAAAACCTGGAAATCCTGCCGATGATTGATCTATGGCTTTGACGGGGAAAGTTCCACACTGAGCCTGATCCATCTGAGGAAACAGTGGGAAGAATTCTATGAGCGAGACGAGCGTGATGCTCGAGTCACCCGTTGAGAGTGGGCAAAAGGACACACCGGGAGAGTTCTTGGGGTTTAGACTTGTCAGAGCTGGGTATATATTATACAGTAATATACAACTTAATATTATATAGATGTAATTATATATATATATTATATATACATTATATAGCTGTTTTTGACAGGTCTTGTGGCTGACTTAGATGTCGACATGTTTTTTTCGAGTTCCGAGTCCAGACACGCAGGCACAGGCCCCGTGTGCCCCGGTGGGCTTTTGATCACCAGTGTACACCGAAAACGACCAAAGAAGAAGAGTTTGACGTCGCTGCTTGAAGGACTTGTGGCAGGAAAGGCTGTTTATGTGCGTTGAAGTTTAGAGTCAATCCTAAAGGTTGTTCGTGGATTGCACTCCATGTTGTATCAGTAGGTTTGCAACGCTATGTTTGAGTTGTCGATTGCCCAAAGTCAGGGTCAAAAATGTCAGATTGGTGTAGGTCCGGGGTCTTAAACCACGTATCTTTGGTGGGATGGTGTGAAGGTGGTCAGATCCAGGTCCTTGTGGAGTCGATATCCCAAGGTTGCGGCCCCTGGTTTCGACGGGCTGATATATATATAATATAATATAATATAATATAACATAATATAATATAGTATAATATAATATATATATATAGGAAGCCTGGTACATGACGAAGGATGGATTCGGATACAGTACTTGCGGATGGTGAGATGTTGTTTTCTGTTCTTTATTTGAACATCCTATGATGGTTTTGTTTTGTTGTAAAGGACCTGTTCTCCAAGGCATTAAGTGGTGAGATCTCCATATCAGGTGTTTCCAGGTTTTGCGGATCCCCCCGGAGGTTCCGCTGGGTATCTCTGGGAGTCCGGTGGGTAACTCCCACAAGGAAGGCTGGGCCATTGACGTTTTCGAGGATGATCGGCCACTGGGATGAAATCGATGATTGGCCTATCTCAGGGAGAGGAGGGTGTTCATCTCTTGGTCTACGAAGTCCAAGGGATGACTGTTCAGGTTTAGAGACATCAGAGACATCCTGCAGTCATGGTGTCCATGTAGCATGGTCTATATTTTGTTTGGGTGTGTCAAGGTAACTTAGGATCCTCATTCTGAAACAGGGATTTCGATTGAATGGCCCTCCAAAAGGCTTGACCTGAAGTCTCCACCATCACTTCAATTTTCGGTCCAAGGGGAAGTCTTTCGGAGTGTGAAGAGTGACTGTGTCAGAGTCCAAGGGAACTGAGAGGCTTCATCAAGCCCGCTAAAGCCTTGCGGACGCTATAGGGTCACGTGCGTCACACGATGTTTTCCAGTTTCAGGTGTGGAGGAGTGGAGGATCAGGTGATTGTTTTTTTTCGCTCCGCGCAGTGTTGAACTGACGAAAGATCGAATCTGCAGGGTCTTGGACGTCTCCAAACTATTAAAGAGGAACCTGACGCTGTCAGGTCTGGCAGGTCTGACACTGTCAGATCAGGTCTGCTAGGCCCTCCTTGGGCAGGGATTGGAATTGAGATCCTTTGGGTCGCCCAAAAAACAGGTCGCCTGGGATGCGAGCCTTTGCCTGGAAGAAACCCCATCGAGTCGCAGACTGGTTGCTCGAGTCGAAGAGCGATGAATTGGAGCTTCTAGCGGAAAGTTACCAATTGAAATAGACCACGCAAGCTGTTTCCTGTGGCAATAGACCACGCATGCTCTTAGCCCCCCAACCCGCAACCCCCAACCCTTCCTCGATCTGGTAACCCTTTCAGCAGCTTGGAGCCTCGGCAAGTGAGCCAAATCTGTGATTCCCAAGTGATCCCAGGCCTGTCCGGCCTGTCCTATGGTAATTCTATTTCTAACCCACTTCTATGACTTTGCCTGTAGGATCCCGTTTTGAGTTTCTGGCAAACAGGTGGCCCCGTGGTCACTAGAAGCCGGACAGTTCTTGTATGGCTGATAACAGACAATTTGATGGGAACCAGTCATGTTCTCAAGCACCTTACTAAAACAATAGGAAGCATGCCCGCCCGACAGGGCATGCAGGTGGGGTCCGGGGCCAGAGCGGTCGAGGTTGGGAAATGATCGACTCCGCGACCGAGGCTGCTGAAAGTGATTCTCGAAGCATCGCCACGGCCACAGAGAGTCGCTTGTCCGAAGGAGCAGATGTCCGAAGAGCTTGGGGTTGGTCGCACCCAACAGGATACAACTGGAAACCATGTAGATTTGAGGCTTTCATGCATCCAGTGGAGGGCCTCACGTAAAAGATTCCAACATGAACCAATCTGCAAGGAAGACCCTCAAGAAACTGGGAAAAATCAGCAGCAAGTCAAGGCGGCCCTTTCAAGGGACCTGATTTCAGGTTTGATCTCCAAAGCACAAAACACAATGTCCCAGGACAATATTGTTTGGTGGATCATATTCTCCATTACGGGGATGGTGTCGTCGTATCTGTCGTACAACAAGATGCACAAAGAACCCTAGCAATTGGCCGTTGTATGTTCCAATGGTTTCTCCACCTCAAAAAGTGAACACTTCATCACCAGATTTTGTGACGAAGACCAGTTTGGAATGGTTTTTAAGGACAGTTCTTGGACCTCCACTCTCTCCAAGTTGCAGGTGATCCGGCCGCACTTGGGCGATGAGGACGGGAGATGACAGGGTGTGGGGTCGACATAAGGCCTACCATGTTTGTGTGGGGAAGATGTTGGGAAAGTGGGCACGGGAGAATAGCAGTTTCGGTGACCATCCACGCACTGGAGCTTAAGTCGGGTCCTCCTGCAAAGCCACAAGTCTCCGCGCAACGATCTCCATGAGGCATTAGAACTAGCGCACACGCGTGGAACACTGCTGAAACCAGAAACTACACCAGAAACTCGTTTTCAATGACTCCCAGCGCGAGGACGCCCATCAAAATGTCACGGGTCTAAAGATACAGCAAATCGACTGATTGTCTACACACTTTCCTAGTGAGCGAAGCTCAAAAAACTTTTGTAACACGCTTGTTAAATCCACACCAGCCATCCTCATTGAAAACGCCTGTCTAGCGTTTCCAGAGAAATTGCCAAGCGCAAAAGTCCTTGCAAAGCAGTTGTGGCAAGCAAGTCACACTGCGACACCACGCCACGACTAAGTCTCCCTGATGGCCTCACGGGCCATCACCTCAAGGATGTTCACCTCCTATGGCCTCACAGGCCTTGATCTCCTGGGGCCACACGGATACTAGCAAAAGCGAGGAGAGATGGTTTCTGATATAAAGGGTCGCTGTCACTTTGATGGAAGATGGGACATGGGGAGCTTTCCATAAATGGCTCCTTTGCATAAAACTAGTCCATAAATGGTTGCTGACATTTCAAAATAAGGGGATAATATGTCAATGCAAGAGAACGAGTAGGTTAAACACAAGTCAGTGCTCAATGATGATGAAAGTTTAAACGACTGGCTGCGACCCACATAAAATGAAAACAACATTTTGCCACAGATAGTTCAAGCCAGTGGGACCCCCGATTGATTACCCCAACCCTGGGCTGATCTGTGGCAAAATTGGCACAATCTTGCTCAAGTACTTCAAAATGTTCCGATATGTTCTGATGTTTCCATCAGAGCACAAGGCTGTAGTACAGACTTCTTCGTGGTGCAGGAGAAGGACAGGTCACCAAATGCATTTGATCCCTGTCAGCCCACGACAGGTCACCATCCGCTGCAGTTGGGGTGTGGAAGATGGTCCCAGGATCGATTCTTGTCGATGGACTGGGCATGGTGGAGGTGTCGGGGATCATGGAAAGGCTGAGTGCCGAGTCTAGGGCACTGAAAGCATTTCTTCAAAGCTAGGACCAGGCTGCCGGACCTTAGGAACTTTGAACAACCGCCACCTGGTCTCAAGGTCACACCTAAGTACTTTACTCCAGAAATGTCTTTGTCAATTGAAGGTTCTGTGGCGCGGTGTGTGATTCACCTGTTGTTGTTGTTGTTGCTGTTGTTGTTTGGAGAGAGTTTGTTTTGACATTTCAATGGGGAAAAAACAACAGTCTGAACATATCGCGAAGAAGTCTGTTCCCAAGCCGGCGCAGCTTCAGTTATTTGGTTCAGCACAAAGTGGTGGCTTGAGTCACATTTGTTCAGGTATAAAGTTGATACAGTACATGTTTGATGCTCGCAAGCCCTTTAAGTCGGCCAATCCTGTCAAAGGTTGACTTGAGAAGTGTTTCATTGGCATGAACCTGTGGGCAGCTGATGCACTTTCAAGGCAATGCTTCCTGGTAGAATGTCCACCAATCAATCAAAAGGCCTGGTTTGTTTTGAGAGCCTTGCCTTCAGTGAAAACAGTCGTGGGTGGTGAACATCAGTCTCCATGCACCAAGGAGACTGCAAAGGAGGACGCTTTTCCGCACTCGGCCCTCCTAGCTAGTGCCCGCAGAACTTTGTTGCTTCACGACATTCCGAGATATCTAGGTGGTTCTATTATGTTTTGTTTCCAAAATCTATTAGGCATTGCTTGATCCACACACTGTAAGTAGGTTGTGCAACCGGAAATGAAATGATGAGATGCGGGCACATGTCCTCACAGTACGCAGGCTCGTATGCAGCCTTCGTTGTAGATCAGTCTTGTTTAAGCTGCTTAAGCACCACCCGACTGTCTACGGTCTTTTGAGGACAACCTGACAGCAGCGCATGCAGACTCATGCAGACTGAAGCCCAAACTCTGGCAAAAATCCAGTTGGATCCAATCAGTATCATCAATATCAAGCTATCACTCATGCAATCATGCGGATGATGGTTTCAAGGGGATTCGGTTGGGTGTTGATCCCAAACCGTCCGTTTGAGGTCACTTTCCGCATGGGACAGACAGACGGCATCATCAAGGGTCTCGAGGAAGCTGCACCTGGGATGGTATGACTCGGTATGACTCCTTTGGACCTGAAACAATAATATGCATGGAAAGACTTTTTATGTAGACACTGCAGCTACTGTGTAAGTATATATATATTAATTACACATTGGCAGGCCTTTTTTCATATGGATGCAGCTCAAACAGATGTTACCCTTAGAATTAGGGGTGCACAGGAGTGAGATCAGGAGTTAGATGGATGTAGCTTAATAATGTCTAATACATAGTTGCTCTTTTACGATCTGGTACCCTTTTTAAGCCACAGCCATCCACAGCCATATTCATAGAGAAGTCTTCAAGTTCTTACTGAAGCAATCCGCTCCATGACCCACCCACAAGAGCCATTCAGCACTGTTGGAGCGAGGCATTTCACTGTTGAGGATCGCTCACTGAAAAGGCAAGGGTTGTTCCCAGATCACAGAAGCTGCCTTAAATAGGTTGAACAGTGAACCATTGTTGGATTTATGACTTATAACCAGAAACAATTGAGGCTGGAGAACGGGGCAAGTGGTTTTCAGAGTTGTTGATTCAAGAGCTCAACTCCATCCCCAGTGAAGAACTTCATTGATTGTTCAAGCTCGGGACCTGAGATGATTCGATTAATCCCAGTGACTGACCGACCTCACTCAATTCTGTTGTAAGGAGGGTTAAGTATTGTCATATATATGATTATATATATAGTCATATAATGTCATATATACACATGCATATGATTGTTTAATGTTTGTATGGCAATACTCTCAAGCTTGAGTCTGAGATGACCCCTGGATCTTTCTCTTCAATCTTCCTCAAAACGACCCAAATGGTCGACTCATGTTGTTGCAAGGTCATGACCATGAGCCAGGGCGAAACGTCGCGCTTCTTCCTTGCGCCCGACTTGGCCTATGGAGACCTGGAGCTGAAATGTTGCGTTGAGTTGAGTGGGACGGAGGTCAAACACCCAGAACTCCTCTCTCAGATTGGAGATCTCAAAGACTTCTTGATAAACCACCCGAATGCACTGCCACTTTGGATTTAAGATGATTTCAGCTATACGAGTCGGTTTATCTAGTGTAGTACTGTATGCGTTGTTCTTTAATAAGTTATTTTGTTAAGAACTTTGGATCACCTCTTCATCCACCGACGTTCTGTTGTTAGCAGCGTCGCTGCTCAGGAGATCAGGGCACCGATCAAGTGCCACCGGGCGCCACGTTGGAGTATGAGATCTCGTTGTTGAATGTCACCCAGCAGAGATGCGGGTGATTGGAGACGGCTCCAAAGCGACTGGTTGCGGTTTTGATGTTTTGGTGTTGCCGTTGGTGGTTGTTTTTAGCCACAAACCCTTACAGACACATTGCTGCTGTTTTACTACCTCACCACCACAAAGCACTGCAAGCAGCTATATAGGACACTTGAAAGAATGCAATGCAAGCATAGATGAAGGCACATGAAGCCCTCGCAGCACCAAACGAAGAAAAACACTGGCAGAACTCTACAATTGGAAGTGCCTCCACTGGCCTGTCTTTCCCCATTCCCGTTGTTTGTTGGAAGCAAAGGAACGAAGACGTTTCTTCGACGTGTTTGATACAAACTCATCGACTTCGCCATATCCATGTGGGACTGAATGGGGAGACGGGACCAACGCAGTTGGATCACGTACTGTGCTGAACTTGCTTATAAGGACACATAGGCATAGGCATAAAGATGCACATTGGCAAACTGTGAGGACTTGGAGTAGATTCTCTTCTATCCGGGGACCCCAAATCACTATATACACACCTGAGTTTTTGTTTCTCAGAGCTAAGTGGGTTGATGGTTTTCTGAAGGACTGCAATGGGTCTCAATGAGGGTGAGGGTCCTGTTGTTTTCGGGTTAGATGCCACAGTGCCAGGTCCTGTATCATGACGATCTCTGAGATTTTGGATCAAGTCTCCACTGAAGCACAGATTCCTTTTGAAGACATTGCGGTCTTCGATTTGTTGTGCAAAAAGAGCAGCCATGGCTATGAAGGTTTCATTTCGGCAGCTGAATGGTGAAGCGATGTTTCTTGAAGTCATGCCAAACACCACTGGTCGGAAACTGAAGAAGCGGATCAAAGAGTGCCAGCATTGGGATGAAGAGCTCACGTGAAAAGAACACGGGTGGACATTGTCGTGGGAGCGAGCAGGTTGCTGACGAACAAGGAGACAGCTGCGGATGCAGGCCGTTAGTTTTGAGAGAAAAGCCACCAATGTGTTCCGATTTGGTGATGACATTGACCCAGAGTCTTTATTGGTGATTGGAATCCCCAGACTGTGACCCGGATTGCTTATGCAGCCTTTGCAGGTTGCAGCTCGTTGGCCAGTTTGGCTATCCCCAACTCAGTGACCCGGATCGCAGAGGGAGCCCTTAAAAAGTGTAGCTCATTGGCAAGTATGACCATCCCGGACTCAGTGACCCAGATGGGGGAATTTGCCTTTGCGTCCTGCAGCTCGTTGGCAAGTGTGACTATCCCCAACTCACTGACACAAATTGCAGAGGGATCAGATCTTGAAGACTGCAGCTCGTTGCCTATTGTGACCATTGTGACCATCCCCGAGTTGGTGACCCGGATTGGAAAGCAAGCCTTTGCGGTCTGCAGCTTTGTGACCATCTCGGACTCCATGACAGATTGCTTATGAAGCCCTTAAAGACTGCAGCTCGTTGACGAGTGTCACCATCCCCAAGTCAGTGACCGAGATGGGGGATCAAGCTTTTGCAGTTTGCAGCTCGCTGCCTAGTGTGACCATCCCACCCTCAGTGACCCAGATTGAGTATAGTGGCTTTGCAGGGTGCAGTGCTTTGACTTTGGTCTTTCAGGTTGAGGGATGAGGCTTTCAGTGGCTGCTAAAGGATTATATGTATATACATCAAAAGAATGCCAATTGTGAAAGATGTGCGAGAGTGCGTGTATTTTTTACGGCTGGGTGTGCCCGAAACGACGGTGGCGCTCTTCACAGCATGGCCGCCAACACAAAGAGCTGGTTTGACACAGATCCCAAAAGCAAAAGTGTCAAACACAGCATGGCTGTGAGCTGGTCAAACCCAACCGCCTCGGCGAAAAGGAAACTGGCGCACGGTGGCGGCCGATTCGGTAGGTCCTGCACAATAGAACCAGGATTTCCCTCAAGCTTCGATGGAAGATAGGACATGCTTTTGTTTGAAAGAAGTTTCAGACAAAGTGCGACATGGAGCCACATGGGGCCACAAAAAATCTGGTGAAATTATGTGCCCTTTTAAGTCGATCTCCCCCACACTTGGAGGATTTGCTGGTGTCATCTACCCCCACTGACCGCAACGACCCCATCTGGGCCAGGTGAGGAGATCGCACGCACCAATCCCCCTCGTGAACTAGTGAATGAAGACCAGGAGAACCTAGTAGCGAACATTGCTCCTAGCTTCCAATTTGATGCCTGGTGATTGCACCCCAGCATACGGAGATCGTGGGTTTCGCGGCTGCCCCATGTTCAATCCCTCGCAGGGTCTTTTCCTGCTTTGTGTCTTTTCCTGCTTTGTGGCCGTTTGTTCAAATTTGTTTAAAGTTTAAAGCAACAAAAGCATATATGGCAGAAGAAGCAAGTGTGTGGCATCCGGATTTTGCTCAACATTTGTCCATCTGAGGTTGTTGATATGGATCCCGACATCGATGAATTTGACGAAGATTTCGAAATACCTGAAGACCTTGAGCCTCATCGACTCATCGCGTGATTTCGATTTGCTCGGGTGGACCCCTAGTGGATGCAAGGCATCCACTATATAGTTCCTAAGCCCTCATTGGCTGATATTGGTACAGAAAACTACAGAATCCTACAGATCTCGCAGACCCACCCAGCAGTCTGGTTTCAACTCTTCGGTCGCAAACAAGACACGTCGTGCGCTTCTGGAAGCGGGTTGAAGTTTTACGACCCGTTCGAGTCGAGTCTGTGTATTAGTTATTTTCTCTTTGCTTGGAGGCCATCGCGAGTATAGGTTGGAGGCCATTCCTTTTAGATTGGAGGCTCTTCGGTTGAAGGTTCCTTAAAGTCTTTTTCTCAAAGTCCAACCCCTTTCGATCAGGGTCTACAAGTTGGATCCATATAACTAGGACCTGGTGTTGTTTGTGTCTTCTGCCAGATCCTTGATTCTTGGCAAGCACCTCAAATGCAACTCATTGGCAATGATTCATTGGCCTAATTATATTAACAATATTGGAACCGTTTACCTTCTTCAGGTTGCATGCAGTACGTATCAGTTTCAGGGCACCCACGCTTATGCTTTGCAAGGGCAAGCATTGTTCTGCTAGGTCCAGGCGGCCTAAGCAAACCACTGTTGTACTTTTGGCACAGCTGAGGGGTCAGATGTTGTGTCTACGTTCCTACCGCCTTTTGCATGGTACAATCCCAAACCACACGGAAATCCTTAGCATAACCATGCTGTTTAGGCTGGAAGATGCCCATTGGGCGCTTTGAGAGGATCATGGTACTTGATCAAGAGTCTAAGTCTAAGTGTCCATCAGCATCCATCAGCGATATGTGTTGGGCCGACTGCTGCGCAATTGATCTTGCGCAGGGCCTGACAGGGGCAACCTGTGAGGGATATTATAAGCTTCATGTCCCGGATGGTTTTGGGTTTGTGTGTTTCTTGATTGGACGCTTCACATGCTTGTCCAAGGACAAGATGGGCAAGAATGACCTGGGCGAAGGCCGCAGCCTTCACCGGACAATGTGTGTGTGGCAAATTGCCTTGATTGAAGGGTAGAATTTCCTTGTCATGATTTGTAGAAAGTAGTGGGGTGGTTTGTAAAGTGAGGGAACTCCTGAACATGGTTTCCAATAGAATCCAATAGACATATTAATGTGTCATTCATTGATGAGGAGGGTCTCCCAATTCCAATCCCCACCTCTTCACTGTCCAGGTGGTAGAGATCCAAGAGGCCGATATCTTTGGGAGCGCCATGGGCAGGACAGCGTGCTGTGGCGCTGCGAACATTATTCAACACCTCTTGACATTGCAAGAAAAGCATATGGGTGAATTGGTCTGGTGGATGAACACCTCCTATGCTCCTGGTAAACGATCCACTTTCAAAGAGTCTTTAATTGTAGGCCCACCCCAGTCAGATCAGTGCATTGGATTTTGCACCGTCTACTTTCACCCCAGTGCACTTGTTTCTGCTGGACTGTGGCTTGTTTGCACTGCAATGCCTCTGAACTCTCATGAACTCTGGCAAGAGGCTTGGTTTCTTCTCGATGCATGTCCAGATAACGATGAAGATTCTACGGTAGCCTTAGTCTTCCAATTAGAATCGCTGTATAAAGGTCTGTTGGCCCGACCAGCAATTCCAAGGACAGTGCCGTTCATCCATGAGTCTTGCTTGCTTTGTCGAGTATGTCAGAGCTTACCTCCGCTTCATCCTCCTCATATATGACGTGACACAGTGACCATGCCACACCCCTCACGCAAACAGAATGCCTCAATGCCTGTCGCTTTCCCGTCCCATGCACCTGTCTTAGACATGCGAAGTACAGTAAAACATGTTTGCCCCTTGCCCTTAGTGGAATCTTCATCCTGAAAGGGTCGGTTGTCTTTTGTAGTATCCTTTCATAGTTTAATACATCCCCTATTTGGGTTTGTGAACCTGCTCAAGTGGCAGGATATGTTGGTCTGGCTACCCATCTCCGATACCACCAGCAGCAGTGATGTGGACTGCCTGTATCTCGGCTGAAAACCATTTGACTCTCCGAAGCTGCGGGGTGTGAGTCAAAAGTAAGCACTCTAAACTGTGGGATCTACTCCGCTCCGAATCAGTTGACATTCTCACTCCGCTTTGTTCATTCCATTCGTCCAATCTGTGGAAGGGAATCCATTGCTCCGTGCGTATGACCCGTACGGGTGAGGCGGGCCACGATTACCACCACCATCACCACCATCAACTCTCTTTGAGCCCAATGCGTCCAGATCTCTAGACCTTCTGCTTCTACACCTCTAGACCTTAGACCTTTAGACACGCTTGCTGGGATAATGTTCTTGTTCATCAACTCCTTTTCACGGTCTGAACACCATCAACGCATGTCCATTCACTTTCTTCCTGTCGGATGAAGCGTCACACAGGGCCTCAGTGGTGGGTCGGAAGCGCCCAAAAGAAGCACCGGAGAGGTGTTTCCGCCCTGAGGCTCCTGAAGAATCACATCTCTGCCACCGTGGAGGACGAGGTCTTCCGGACATGTCAGACATGGCGTAAGGCTGTGTGAGCTTCGGTGCGTCTCTCACCGCTATGGACCTTCTACGGAATTTCAATATGAGCACCGCAAGAAACCTCCCAAGATGAACTAAGTAAAGGCCTTGTCATATGGAACTTGGGCGTAAGCAAAAACCTGAAGAGCGTAAGGTTGCGTAAGGGAGTTGTGAGACATGCATGTTGCGTAAGCTTGCCATATGGTTGTGTTTTCATTAGTAGATTCTTAGCACACACTTGTCAAGAAAGGAACTGTATGGACCATGAGAGCTTTGAAACCCTTGGGAACTGACATTTGTGTGCACTGTGTTTCGGGTGTGTGCACTGTGTATCAAACCTTTCTCAAGTCAGCCCCATCATAACATGTCATAACATGCCGGGCTCTGTTTGGTGAGGGTTTGATGGCGTAAGGTTCGCGTAAGCTCCGCGTAAGGTTCGCGTAAGCCAACTTTTCATTTGCCTACCAGCAGCCAGTAAGTAGATGCTAGTGATCCTTTGCTTCCTCTGCTGATTCGGAGTCTTAGTGATCATGTGTTTGTCGCCCGCTCACCTGCAAACAGGAGCCTTCGCGTAAGCATTTCCCTTGGGAGTATGGTTCTCATTTGTGAACATGCAGATGCGTAAGATCTGCGTAAGGTCTTCTTCAACATCCGTGGCGCGTAAGCTCACATTGTGGTCGCGTAAGAAAGGCGTAAGCAGGAGCGTAAGAACGTTATGCGACATAGGGGTTTAATCAATCATACGTATTTTGCAGAGCTCATATAGGGATTTATCCGTTTTTGAGTGTTATTGTAGGTCGCTGTACATCCCTAAATTAAATCCGAAAGATGGGTCCCTGGAACATGGCCATTTGTTGAGACCATTTGAGACCCCCAAAACAGACGCCCTCTGTCAGACAGAAGGCTAAAAGGCTAAACCCCAACTGCTTCCCTCCGCGGCACTCTAAACAGTTCTAAGCAGGCATGTGGCAGTCCCTCGAACGGATTTATCACCAAACTTCTGGACCAAACTTTGGTTCCCCTACATGCAACACATGTTGGCACAACACGGGAATGTGGTTGGACACATTTGCACACACCTGCGGAAAAAAATGAACACCTGTCACCTGTCCAACATTTGTGCCAACATGTTGGATCACCTGTCGTTCCTTAAGCCACCCATTTCGACTGCAGGTGATTTTTGATGGAGAACCTGGCTTGGAGATCGACGAAGATGAAAGCTACTGGGAAACTTGGAGCCAAGACAGGTCTGTACCGGTCAGATTGTAGATGGCAAACTGAGTAACTAAGCTAGGATTGCGGTAAACCAAAAGGTTTTTCTCATTTCTGTGTTGCCCTTTCTTGTTGCACTGTTCTTTTGTTCGTTTTGTTCATTGTGGTGGTGGTGCTTCTGGTATCGAGCCTTAAGACCCTCCAACAAAACCCGTGTGTCGTCCTCTCTTTTTCAGGTGTTTGGTGATGTTTTGTTGGGGCCTCATATTCATGTCGGTGTAGGCAACAGCAACATGTTATATCCCATGGAGTTTACGACTTTCAAGCAGCCACCCGAAATCATTCTTTATGTGGCAACATGTCAATGTGTGAGATTTGATCCCAGCGGATTGGGCTTGTTGGCTTCTGTTGGTCACTCGGTGTCCCGGCCTATCGACAAGAAGATGCGAGAAATCAATCCAATCCCACACGTCCACACACGTCTACATCGTCCAATGGCTGGAGGGAGCGAAGGCTGCGCCGGTCACTCCGAAGTCGGTAGTGCCATGACCCGCCTGGCCGAAGCACTGCATCGGGCCTTGCCACACTGCATCGGACAACGCACAAAGAGATCAAGAATACTGTTTCTACTCGCTTCTGGTTCCTAGTAGTAAGGCCAGGAGCCCCTAGTAGCGTCCTT